GAGATAGCCACACCGCAATCCCTTCTCCTCCATTCTCCTCTCGAGATCTTGGGCACACACGCACATGCACCCAGCATGAGTTTAAGCTGCTAGGTCCAGGACTCGAACCACTGTTGGCTACATGGGAGTCCAGTGACATAGCCATTATGCCAACTGCTGGTCCCAACTTGTTTTTAGACCTTTATCCTTTTCTTAAGAATTCTAGTCTTACAGTAAAAAAGAGCTTATAAACATTCATTTGTGTCAATATATACCTTTATTATCCACATTACACAGATAAGGAAATTGAGGGATAGCAAATTAAATTATTTTTCCAAATTCAAATAGCTAGCAAGTGGTAGTGTCAGCCAGTTTGTCTCAGAGCTTTAAAGCTGAACTTTCACACTGTAGGTGCCTCAGACAAGACTGTTAGGTGAAAGCTCTCTGTCTCATCCTGCTAGTTAATTCCCTCCAGCGAGGGGCCCCATCTTTCCTAGACAGCCTTAGCATAGATTGCTCTACACATTGTCATCATCCTGTGTACTTGCTCAGTCCTGTCTCCTTTTATTTCCGGTATTCAGCTGCCAGGATTATCAGTCAGTTTTGCTTCCTTCTGCAGGCACTCCCCCACCCCAGAATTTACACACTGTATCTCGTCCTTGAAAGTCTCCACAGTGCTATCTCCTTAGTCCCATCCCCATTACATCTATTGTGCACACTAAGCAATGCTGTGCCTGGCTTTGTATTAGGTTGTTTTTCTTATCATCCCATGGATGCATTCATTGTATTCCCATTCACTGGGTTTTTCAAGTTGTTTCCCATAGTGCTCGGCACAGTAGGTACTTCATAAAAACGAGTTCTTTTTTTCTTGTTGAATTACTAGTTCCTAAGAGTGTAACACAAAATATTTCAGCAAGGTTCTGATCTATACAAATATAAAATATTTTGAAATTAGTTCTATTTATAGTTCTTTGGGAGATACTTTCGGCAGTCTTAAAACTCATCAGTGACAAGTTTCATCTTCTCATTAAGAAAAATAAAGAATCAAATGAAGACTCCCCGGTTTCTTGTGAAGTAGAAGTTTCATATTTGAGTTCTTTATCTTTATCTTTATCTTTCTACTTGCGTGGTAGCATCCATTGAGAGTAGCTGTTAATAGGACTAAGGAGTTGTATTTTAGACCACTGCTGGCATCTAACCCAGAATTTCTTTCCTCATGGTGTTCTAAAGGGAGTTAGCTATACTGTGAATATTCCAAGCAACTGTAGAGTCACTACCTCTTATAACTGAGAAAATGGATACGTATATCAAACTTATGAAAATTAGGATTTTTTAAAAATCTATTTTAGGTGAGAAAAGTTTATTTACTGTTAGCAGTGCTTTTTCTTATTGTTCAATATGTAAACGTAACCTATCTTATTATTGCTCTTGGAAAATGTACTGAAAATAGTGTATTCTTTTTACATTTTCAAAATATATAGACAGATCTTTTTGTGCAATTTCAGCCAGTTACTGCAAGTGTTACATGTCACAGAATCGCCTTAGTGTTTGGCCTGTACTGAAGTCAATGAACAAACCCTGTTCTTGAACATTGTCTCAAAATCCAGATCTTTTTCTGAAGTTTCAGCAGTGTGATTTAAGGAGATCTTCAAAGATACTTGTCCAAGTCACATAAAGCAAATTTCTTAAGCTTTCCCTCAGAAAGGATTATAAGCATGTTAAGCCACGTTAGATTCAAGAGCCTCTGAAAGTCACTTGTTTATATTCCAGAGACAATGAATCACAAACTCTCTTATCCTTTTCTATTACAGGCAAGAACAATGATTTTCTTTCATTAAGACTTTTAGGGACTATTGACCAATATATATATTTTAAATACTTCCCAGCACTTACAATGAGTTCTATAAAGGTGGTGCAGAGAAACCACGTGATCGTGAAACTACGCTATGCTTAGGCGTTGGTAACGGAAACCAAAGAGAAGATTCTTTAGATGTTCCGTAGGTATTTGAGTTTTTCTCCTCAGAGAACATTTGTGAAAGCAGGGGATTACAGGGACTTAATATTTTCATATAAGTAATGACTTTGTGCTGGGTAGAGCATTTTGTATCAGTGCTGTAACTTCTAATGTGCAGTCAGTGAAATCAAGAGTTAAAACAAGTCTCCACAACTGCAAAACTATTACAAATTTAAATCACTCTAGTTTACTTAATATTCTATCACATCTATTTTTTCGCTACCAAATAATCAAAATTTTGTGATAAAATGGATTGATAGAGTGTCCATCAGAGCACCGCCCCCCATGCAATTCAGGACTCTCTGAGCCAGTTATTTAACCCACATCTATCTCCATGTATCTACTGTAGAGAGTGAATTATATATCTCAAATGGATGGGGCAATAAGTGAAATAAGTTTCTCATCCTTCTAAGTTATTTCAAAAATGTAGATGACATAAATGTGACCATAGTAGTAATATGCTAAATCATTATTTTTAGTCACATGGTAAGTATTAAAGTTAGAGAAGTTGTTTTACTCTTATATTGTTATTGTTGCCTGGTGATTATCAGATCATGTCCCTGACAAATCTCATCCTCAC